ATAAATTATAATCTGTTTCTTCAAAAGTAACACATCTTCATTTGGAAATCTTAAAAATTGGCTTATAGATAAGAGACCAAAATCAGAATGAAACAAATATTATAGTAATTGTCAACATTTTGGAGTTTCATGCTCCTTGTATGCATAGTTTACATAGTTAAATCTACTTCATTCACATCTCTATACCTGATACTTTAATGTAACAGTTTAATAATTTCCCATTTCATTATAAAATCTGCATAAATATCATTTGCATATATTATTTATACTATTTGCATGTTACTCTATCATTATGTTATATTATCTGCTTATTATAATTGATGTACAGAGTTGTGGTGCTTTTTAACTCCATGGTCATCAAACTGCTCTCCAGCTTTCTCTATCACTAATAATGCTGAAAAAACATATTTTTTGAATAAATAATTTATTGAGGATAGTAGACCAGAGACTGACTATTTTTTGTATCAAAGCTATGCTGTATTTTGAATCTCTTATCTCAACCTTTCAAACCAATTTCTCCAGAGGCTGTGCACCCACTGTTTGTACTCTGATCAACAGAGCATGAAAAGTCCTTTCTCACTGACTGTGACAGCACAGGGACATCTCATTTAAAAATTCTAAACAGCCTGATAAAAGTGGTATTTCATTTTTAATGTATATTTACCTTGCACAGAAACATGATTTTTACTGAGGTGTAACTGGCATAAAACATTTCTTAGTTCAAGTGTACAGCATAGTGATTAAATATATTGTGAAAAGATCCCTACAAGAAGTCTAGTTAACATACATTGAATGTGTGTTTCATATTGCAAGTGAGTTTAAATATATTTATTAGTAATTTGTAGTGCTTTTTGAGAGGTTGGGGGGATGTTTTAATGCACTGAATCAGGCATGAGAAGGAAGGGGCTTGAAAGTTTAAAATAGACTAGTGAGAATACAGAAATTATTCTGACATTTGTCAGCCTCTTTTAATTAAATATCCTCTAATTATTAGGGGTAATATGTGGTAGAAAGGAATTTGACAACCCCAACATATTTATATTATTTTAACATGGTCTTAGAATGATTAATCTTTAATTATTTTCTACTTTAGTTATTTCATGGAGTCTAACCCTGGGCCCAGCTATATTTCTAAGTTTGGATTAATAAATTAAAAAAGCAATTGAAATCTAGGCATTATTTGCCTCACAATGTGATGCAATAGGAAGTAAATAAACCACTTAAAGAGTAGCTTTAAAAAAATAAAACTGAATCTAATCAAACATTTAGATCCAACACCCATTTATAGGAAATTCAAGGGATGGAGGGACAAGTTCAGGAAAACCACAAAGGAACCACTAAGCAAAATCCGGAATGTAGAACTGAGGCAGGATAGTGAGAAGTTAGGAAAATTCCTTGGCAACTAAATGCAGAAACTGAGACAGGATAATTAGACAAGACCAAAAACTTTGAGTGATTTACAGCCAGCTAGTGAATCACAGGGTCTTATATTCCCTAACTGCGGACACTTAGAAGCAAAGGATTTACACATTCCATATCTTGCTTGCCACAGCAGAATGCCTTGGTCTGGTCCCTATTCAAAGACATTAGTTAAAGATTAAACTAACCAGAGAATGACCCTGACACCTCAATACACTCATTTAGATGAATCATCATATTGAAGGACACACTTGGGAAACTAATGAATATTCTGCTAAGGCCCTCCGCTGAGACCTCCCCAGGGTTCCCTTCCCCCCAGAAAGAGAGAGAAAAGCGTCAAGACAAAGGGCCCAGTGTGGACTCTCTCTCTGTAGCATGCCCACTTCTTTTCTCAGCTGTGAGCTTTTTACTTTATTTTTCCTAAACTCTAAGGGTCCCCAAGTGACTTGCAACAAGGGGAGCAGCCGACAGCTGTGACTCATCTCAGGTTTACCCTCCAAACTTGTCTCAGAGACCCTTTTTCCTCTGAGTTTTCAGTGAGGTAAACGCAGCCCCCCATTGGCTTACTTCTGTCACCGTGCCTCTTACTTCTCAGTGAACTCATCCAGCCCAGTGTCGCTCACTCCTTTCCCATAACACTTCTAGAGAGACAAAGCAGCCCTGCCTAGACTCTCCTGTTGCTTCTTCTACCCTAAACTCTTCCTGCATTTCACTGTCCCCAGTTCTAATAAACATATTCACAAAATTACCTGGACTCAGGCTGCAAAATCTTCCTTAAACAAAGTCAAGAACCCACACACAACAGGCTGGCCTGACGCAGACCTACTCTGGGCCCCATCCCCATCCAGGAACAGCACATTAGACTATTCCCTAAGGAATCTGATCTGAAATGTGCGCCAAACCAAAGATAATTTTTATATATGTACATCGATACACATAAATGTAAAATAATATTTCTGAGACAATCATGAAAATTTGAATATAGAATGAAAGCAAGATGCTGTTAATCAACTATTATTAATTTTGTAAAGTGTGTTAATAGCATGGATTGCCTCACTTCATCAGGTGAAGAGTCAATTATTTAAAGATGAAATGATGTAATACATGGGATTTGCTTTGCGATGCTCCAGCAAAACAGAAGCGGAAAGGAGATGTAATAATGTTGGGAAATTCTGACAATTGTTGAAGCAGAGTGATGGGCACATGGATGGAGGTTCACTATGTTATTCTCCATTTTGTGCAAGTTTTTAATTTTTTAAATAAAATATGATAGTAAAATAACAACAGGAAATCACTTCTAGAATGGCAGAATTAAGGCCTCTGAAAATGTGTTCCCCACAGGAACAATTGAACAATGGCTAAAATAGTCAAAATCAATTTTTAAAAGCAATAAAGTAACCAAGGACAAAATCCAAGGAGTACTCAGTCAAGAAAAATCACTGAACCTCATAAAGAACAGTGAGTTTTGCCACATTTTAACTTGCCCTATTCCCATCCTTCTCTCTCCAGTTTATCAAATTCCCCAGGGCTTCCCAAAGAACCAGCTCTTCCTCACCAGTCTTGGTGCTCTGATGGGTCTTGCACATTCTAGCCACCTGGGATAGACAGAGATCGGGGCATGGGCTCGCAGGCACCAAAGATCTTTCCCTCTGTTTAGCACAAAGTGAGCTGATACAAAGCCCAGATCTCAGCTTCTCCTGGGGAGAAAAAGAGTTGATCTATGTGTCCAGTGCTCTGTCTTCTCAGAGGCTGACCCAAGAACTAGCCTCTGCCTTACCAGTCTTGAAGCTCTGATGGATTCAGTGTGGCTTAACTGTTATAAGATATTTTATATAAGCACCAAGGTAATCACAAAAAATACCTACAGAGGTTATACAAAAGTAAAAGAATTCAAAGGATATCACTACAGAAAATCGACACAACACAAGGAAGACATCAAGAGAGGGAAAGACAGATGCCTGAAACTAACACAAAATAATGATGAGTGTAAACTGTAATTGGAAAAAAATAAAAAAAAAGAAAAGACAGATGAAAGAACAAGATTAACAAAAGACAGCTATCAAAATGACATAGTGGTATCTTCCGTATCAATAATACTTTAAATATAAGTGGGTTGAACTCCCCATTCAAAGTACAGAGTGACTGAGTGAATGGAAATGAACAAATAGCAAACAGTACCAAGACTCAACTGTGTGCTATCGATAAGCAACTTACGTTAGATTCCAGAGCACAGAGCATAAGAGCACATAGCTGAAAGGGAGAGAAAAAGCGCAAATAATGACCAAAAGAACAAGGGTGTCTATCAGACCAAATATGCTTTAAGTCATAAACTGTCCCAAGAGACAAAGTGTAAAACAACAAAAGGGCCCAGGCTGAGTTGGTTGGAATGCTGCCTTGTGGGTGGAAACTTCGCAGATTTTATTCTTATTCAGGGCTCATGCCTTGGGTTGTAGGTTCTGTCCCCTGTTGGAGAGACTACAGAGCACAGGTGATAGATGTTTCTATCTCTCTCCCTCCCTCCCTCTCTCTCTGGAATTAAAAAACAACAAAAATAAATAAAAGTGTCAATGCACCAGGACACCAGGAAGGTATAACATTATAAATATATACTGACCCCACATCAGAATACCTAAATGTATAAGGCGAATATTGGCAGAATTGAGGGGAGACATAGACAGTATCTGGATTAGGAACAAGGCAAGGATGCCCCCTGTTGCCATTTCTATTCAACATAGTAATGGAAGTCTTAGCCAGAGCAGTTTGGCAAGAGAAAGAAATAAAAGGCATCTAAATCAATGTAGAAAAAATTCATTTGTGTTTTTATACACTAACACAAACTACCTGAAGACAAAAGTAGAAAAACATCCCCATTGATAATAGCACCAGAAAGAATAAACTATTTAGAATAAACTTAACTACATAGGTAAAAATATTGTATATTAAACACTACAAAATAATGAAAGAAATTAAAGACATAAATAGAAGGAAAGCTTTCTCATGTTCACTGGAGATTTATGTCCACACAAAAATGTGTGTGTAAATGTTTACTGAAGAATTGTTCACAACAGGCAAAAAGTAGAAAAAGCCAAATGTTCATCAACTGATGAATGGATTGACAAAATGTGGTATAACCATACAAACAAGTGACATTTAGTCATTAAAAGGAATGAAGTACTGATAAATGCTACAACATGGATGGACCTTAAAAACATTAAGCTAAGTGAGAGGAGGCAGTCAAAAATGTCAGATAGTATATGAATGCAGTTACATAAAATTTCGAGAATAGACAAATCTATAGAGACAGAAAGTAGTTGTCAAGGGTTGGAGGGAGGGAGGAATGGAAACTTGTTTCTAATGAGTATGGGTTTCTGTAGGGATGATGAAAATTCTCTAAAGTTATGTGGTGGTAACAATTCTATGAATATACTAAAAATCACTGAATTGTATAATAATTAATGGGGTTGATTTATGGTATGTGACTTATACCTCATTAAAGCTATTAAAAATAGCAATTGACTGTTTTCTTCTCTCTGAAAATTTCTTTTAATGAAGAAAATCAGTTTGTTTAACCAAAAGAGTAAATGGAGATGAATGCAAGGAGACTCTTTTCTGTGAAGCTGAATGATGGATACTTCATGCCTACCCTGGGACTTGGCACCTCGGCTCCCCATGAGGTAATCGTAATGCACTGGAGATGGAGGGGGAGCAGATAGGGTCCTGATCAGAACTAGTCACTGTGTGAATTTGGGGAATTCAGATGGGCCTTTGTTTCTTTATTGTTAGCATGTGTTCTCTCCAGGTTAGGCTATTTTGTGCAGTACATCAGTGTTTTTCAAATTTAATAGGCATAAAATACAGGTTTAGGGTCTCCCCACACAAAGTTTCTGATTGAAGAGATCTGGGAGAAGGCTCAAAAGTCCATGTTTCTAATGAGTTACCAAGTGATCCTGCTGTTGCTTGTCCAAGGACCACACGTGGAGCAGCACTGTATCAAGGGAGACAGAAGGTTGTCACCTTTCATCAGTTGGGGGATGGGCAAGTCTGTTTCTGTTATTCTCATCTGCTGTCCAGTTGCAGCCATTTCACAGTATATTAGAATAAATGGAACCCAGTTGCTATGTAACCACAGGTCAGAGGCTTTGCAGCAGGCTTGCTTGTGATGAAGTTTCTCTGTAAATTCTAATGTCCGAGTTGCCCATGTCAGTCACTACTTAGAATATTGAGAACAATCTCAGTGGCTAAGGGGCCTGGAAGGAGACAAGATTAATGTCAGAGGATTGGAGGTCTAAGGTGGCAATGGTCTCTGAGCAGCCAGATTGCGTGCCGAGGGTAGGGCCAAGTGGCACTTGGAAATTCTCTCTTTTTTTGGAAGACTGCACTCCACACATTTCTGGTTCAAGCACTGTGACCTTATAAGAGCTCAGCTTCGATGGTTCATGGTGAGGTTTAAGGAAAATTGTAGGATTGTTTCTCTAGCACAAGAGCCATGAGGTGTGAATGTTGGGGACTATGGCAAGGACAGTGGCATAAAGCATTGCTTTCCTTCAATTTGGCTCTTCATACTGTGGACAGTCAGTTAATCGCTGTAGGCCTAGTTAGCTCATCAGGAGTTGAAGATTAAAAAAATGTACCTGAGGAGAATCAAGATGGCAGAGGAGTGAGTGGAAGTCACACTGACCTACTCCCAGGACCAACCTGGAATTACAACTAAATTATGGAGAAATCACCTGGAACGAACAACTGAACGATAGCGAGAGAGGAGCCTTATAACCTTGGAGACAGAAGAATCAGCTTTAGCACAACCTAACTGGTAAGGAGTACAGTACAGACTCAGGAAGGCAGGCGGGGCACCCATGGGCGGCAGCACTGCTAGGATATTGAACCGGCCAGTTGGATCCCCCTGAGAAGGGCAGGGTCTAAACCATTAGTGGGGATCTCCAGCCTACAACACCAGAGACCAAAAAGTACACAGAAAACAGCTGGCTGTGAAAGGACAGGGTTTCCCTCTGCCAGAGACAGGCGGCTGGAAATGAAAAGAGCCATTTAAAGGGCCAATGCATAAATTATTGCTTGCAGCCACTTACCCTGGGCTCCAGCAAAGTCGGGAGCAGAGTGGGCTGGAGACTCCTGAGGAGAGACTGGGGAAGGAGGCTTTTGGGAGAGAACTGTGAGAGTAGCCAACAGGATCCCAGTGCTGACTCATCCCCCAGCTGGCAGCAGGCATATTGCTCAGGCAGACCACTTCCCTGCTTGGCAACAGTGTGAGAGGGTACAATAGCCCCACCCATAGGAGGATCTCCCTAGGACCAATAGTGCTAAAACCTAACAGCTGAGTGCAGAATGGGAGCCACAGATGGTAGATCCCTGGCTAAAGAGGGCGCAGACAGGTCTAGAGACACTTGAGCTTGAGGAGAGACTGGATATGGAGGCTCTGGGGAGAGAACAAAGAGAGTAGCCAGCGGGACCCCAGTGTTAACTACTCCCCCATATGGCAGCAACCATCAGACTCAGGCAGATCACTCCCCTGAGTGGCAGCACTGTGAGAGGACCCAAAAATCCCCACCCCAAGGAGGGACTCTGCCCTGCCCTGTGGTGTCTCGAAGCCGGCCTGCTGAGTGCAGAGTGACTAGATTAACAGCTGAAGGAGACAGCCACAGAGAGTAGATTCCTGAGAGTCTCAAACAGACTGCCTGAGGTCAGCCAGGGTCAACATCTGACACAGAGGCAGATCCAGAAAAAAAACAGCGGTCTTCTACTATAGAAGTTCACACCACAAAGTCAGGAATCAAGACAGGTCAGTTTAAGAAGCAGAAGCAAAAACAGAAGAGTCTCACAAATAATGGGAAGACACAGAAACACCCCCCCAGTCGAAGGGGTAGGAGGCATCCCCAGAAAGAGAGCTAAATGAAATAGAGGCAAGTAAACTATCAGATATTGAGTTCAAAACAACGGTTCTAAGGAAGCTCAATGAACTCAGTCAGCTCAGAGAGAATTGCCAAAAACTACAGGGAAACTATGAGGAACTTACTACCAACATATCAGCGTGAAAAAGGACATAGAAACTATCAATAAGAGACAAGAGGAAATGAATATCATTTCTGAATTGAAGGACACAGTAGAAGCAATCAAAAGCAGGCTAGATGAAGAAGAGAATCCAGTCAATGAGCTGGAGGATAAGGCAGAAAAAAGTTCCCAAGAAGAGCAAGAAAATGAAAAAAGACACAAAAGGAATGAAAAGGTGTTTAGGGAAATTCAGGACAACCTGAAGCATAAGTAACGTACCTATAGTAGGGATACCAGAAGGAGAAGAAAAGCAGCAAGGGATAAAGAACCTTTTTGAAAAAGTAATGATGGAAAACTTCCCTAATTGGAGCAGAGAAAAAGTCACTCAAGTCCTGGAAGCACAGAGGGTCCCATTCAAGAGGAATCCAATGAGGCCCACTCCAAGACACGTCATCATTAAAAGGCAAATATCAAAAACAAAGAGAGAATCCTAAAGGCAACATGGGAGAAACAGGTAGTAACAAACAAGGGGGCCCTGATACAGCTAGCAGCTGACTTCTCAACAAAAACACTATAAGACAGAAGGGAATAGCAAGAAATATTCCAAGTCATGAAAAGCAAAGGCCTGCAACCAAGACTGCTCTACCCAGCAAGGCTCTCAATTAAAATCAAAGGCAAAATAAGGAGTTTCCCAGACAAAAGAAGGCTAAAAGAATACACCTCCACCAAACCAATATTGCAAAATTTGCTAAAGGGACTGCTTTAAGAAGATGAAGAAAAAGAGTCTATGAATACCCATTTCCTTTCACAGTCACTAATACTTGATATTATCAATATTTTTAATACTTATTAATCTTAATGTGACAAAGATATGTTATTTTAATTGTTACTTTATTATATGTTGAAACTAAACCTGGTTTTGTATAATTCTTGACTATTTCTATTTTTTTTTAATAAAAAGCTTTAAATGACTTTTTGGTATTCTTTATTTTTTTATTATATGTTTATAGAAATTTTTCTCTAAAGAACACAAACTATTAACCCTTTTATAGATGTGTTGCAAATACTTTCCTATTCTATTACTTGTCCTTTAACTTTTTTTTACAAGAATATTACTGTATAGTCTTAAATGTATAATGTAGTCTTATTGTCAATATTTTACTTCATAGCTTCTCAGTTTGAATATGTTACTTTAGAGCAAGAAAAATATTATTTTGTATTTTCTCCTAAAACTCTTTAAATCTTACATATTGATTTTTAACTCACCTGAATATTTGTTGTATAATGTGTGAAATAGGGCTCTATAACTGTTTTATTCCAAGTAATAATTATCCCTGCACCTTATATGTTGAATAAGCCTTATTTTCTCCATTGATTTGAAATATCAATTCAATCATATATTACATTGTTAGAAAGATGTATATGTTTGTTTCTAGAATGCTCATTTCATTTCATTGATCTACTTGATTATATCTGTGCAGTTGTCATGATTGCTGAGACTTTATAATGGATTAAAATTTTTTAATATTTTATAATGGATTTTGACATTAAAAAAGAAATAAAATCAATATGTATTTTTAAAAGAAAGAAAGAAAGAATGAAAGAAGGAACTCCTACTTTTTACGACAACATGGATGGAACTGGAGAATATTATGCTAAATGAAATAAGCCAGTCAGTGAAAGACAAATACCATATGATCTCACCTGTAAGTGCAATCTATTCAACAAAATAAACTAACAAACAAAATTAACCATAGGCAAGGAAACATGGAGCAGACTGAAAGTAACTAGAGGGGATGAGGAAGGAGGACAATGGTGGAAAGAAAGAGAAGGGACTAGACAAAGAACATGCATGAATGACCCATGGACATGGACGACAGTGTGGGAATTAACTGTGGGACTGGGGGGCTTTGGAGGGATGGATGGAGGAAGACAAAGGGAAAAAAATTGAGACAACTGTAATAGAATAGACCTGATTTAAAAATAAAATAAAATAAATGTACCTGAGACCTTTTTTTTTTTAAATTAATTTATTTACTTTTTAAATACATTTGTCTCTGCCTTCCCCCCACCTCTTTCCCTTGCCCTCTCCCACCTTCCCTCCCTCAGCTCTTCCCCTTTGGTTTTGTCCATGAGTCCTTGCTATATGTTCCTTGACTTTCCCCTTCCCTTCCCTTTCCCTGCCCCCCCCCTTCCCTCTTGTCTCTGTTGATTTCTTTTCCTTTCAGTGTTGCTGGTCATATTTGCCTTGCTTCTTTGCATTGTTGGTTAGGTTCCGCTTATAGGTGAGATCATATGGTATTTGTCTTTCGCCCCCTGGCTTATTTCGCGTAGCATATAGAGTCAGGTAGAAGAGGGTAATGGAGAGGGAATAATTATGGACAACTTAAAAAGCTCAGCTTGGTGGGCCAGCTGAAAAGTGGGCAGCTAAGAGAAATAACAAAGCAGATAAGAACAATAATCAAGTTGTAAAACATAAGTTATTACCTAATGGCCAACTTAGTAACCCCTCCAAAATTATAAGTTATTTGAGTGAAAAAAGAGTTTATTTTCTTTAATATTTTTGTCCTTCCTCAGATGTCATTTGAAGTGTTTCTTAAGTTTACACGGGTAAAGTACTAATGTACTCCATCTAAAGTGACATTTTCATTGCACTGATACATAATTTTTAGCATTGGATTTCTGGTTTGAAACTGGTTTAATAATCTCTGATAGAGTGAATTTATATAGGGATGTAAGGCTAAAGGTTGTGTAAATCTATAGATCACACAGAGAGTATAAATCCAGAGGTAGAGGGTTAAACCCAGCACTTTCTGGGGCCAGATCTTGGACTCACAAGATTTAATTGTGAGCATCTTTTCCCCATGTTGGTAGCTTGAAAATAGCTATGGGGGCATTGTTCACACCATAAAATTGGGACTTTTCTTCAGAATCAGCTGTTAAACATTTACCACCTGTTATAAGTCAACAGTTGGCTTTGTCACTTCTCGCTCCTAGCCCTTAGAAAAGCAGTAGGTTCTGTCGACCAGCTCTGCTTATGGAATTGGCTTTGTGTTTCTGAATCAAGTGGGTCTTCATTTCTGATGCTCTTCTAGGTTGCTAAGAGTAAGGTGGAGGAAGCCATCGAGACAGCAATTGATGTGGGTTATCGCCACATTGATTCAGCTTATGTATACCTAAATGAGGTGGAGGTTGGGAGAGCCATCCAGAAGAAGATTGCCGATGGCACTGTGAAGAGAGATGACATATTCCTCACTTCGAAGGTGCTCTGTAGATTTGCGTGTGTATCTGTGGGAAGCGCACTCTTAGCTAAAGAGTTTAATGGCAAATTTCTCCTCTCATTGGTTTAATTTTGATTCACTCTCAGACATTGGCTATGCAAGACTGGTTAGGAATATGCTGGTTGGGAATGTGGGTTCTGTGGTCAGACTGTCTACATTTGAATCTTACTAAATGTGTTAACTTTGGACCTAAGCTTACTTAAACTTCATTATAAAATGAAGATATTTATTACACAGGATTTTCATGGGTGCTACATGAAAAGTACATGTGAAGCTTTTAGAAAAGCATTTAATATATTTTAATTGCTAAGAAACACTGTTTTTCTATAGATGTTGTATTTTAAAATTTCAGAAATGGATTTGGCTTTTCCAACTCAGATATATTCAAATTTTGACAAAGTGACTTAATTTTCTTAGGTATACTATGAGGTAATACAATTTAGTCAGATAAAAAGTTTTAGTTTTTTAATATGCTACATATTTGACTTTCTGAAATTTCTTAATGAAAAAAAATTTATTAACCTCTCTAAGCCTTAGCCATCATATCTCAATTTGTTACATGGTCAATAGGAACACTTATTTTTCTTTCCTATCAAGTAGAAACAATCTCAAAAAATTGATATGAGGATGAAATTAATATTTATAAAAGTACTCTTTAAATAACTCTTGAACCATTTCCCCCTAATTATTCTTCATGTCCACTGACATAATATCTGGAGCAAGAATAAAAGAATGCAGGTATTTAATTCAGAATGGAAAAGGAAACCCAGGTGAATTTCTCCCATGGTGTCATTGAACTGACTGCTGTTAGGAGAGAGGCATTTATACTTGAGGGGAAGTAGCTCTGAAGAGAGAACTTAGGTCCATGCAAGTGACTCCTATGCAGGGCTGTAAATGGATATTTCTTCAAGCCCAGAATGTGAATCTCTCCATGTGACGTGTTCAGATGTGGTATCGTTTAAGCATTAGCCTTCTTACTCTCATCTTTTAATCCTCCTTTCATAGGTACTCTTTGTTTCTGTATCATGTTAATTTTTATAAGTGTTTTCTTAGAAACATTTATTAAAATATAAAACAAGATGACTAAAGTACCCCCCATATAAGGTTCTTGTTTAAAATGCAATTTCCCAGCCAGGTCTTAGATAATTGTAATTTATGTTTGGAAGTAGCATCAAAGAATATGTTTCTAACAAGCAAACCAAATAATGCTTTTATATTCTAAAATTTGAGAACCTCTGTGTAGGACCATATTTTCATTTGCTATATTGTTGTCTTAATTCTGTATGGAAATAAGTTATCATGATCAAGGATTTAAGAGGTTCACTGGGTCATTGTCACTTCACATCTACTGTAAGAGGATTATGGTTGTTGATGTTTATTTACTATGTTATTAATCTCTTAAAGAAATAACCTCACACCCCTTCTTTTTCAACCATTGCAGCTGTGGGCCTCCTTTTCCTGCCCAGAACTGGTCCAAAGTAGCTTGGAAATGTCGCTGAGGAAACTTCAGCTGAGCTATGTGGATCTTTTTCTTATTCATTTTCCAACAGCTCTGAAGGTTAGCAAAAGTTATTTTACTTTGGTTATCAATATAAAAATCATAGCTGAACACTAGAGATGATATAGTTTGTAAAAAAGAGAAGAAACATACCTAACACTTTAAAATTCCTTTTGTTTTTTTCCCCCAGCAGCTCTCTATGTCTCAGTTCACTATTTCAGCTTCAGAGTGACAAGAGTTTGCTTGTTTCAACGGCCTTTGTCTCAATCTTGTGGCTGCCCCGTGCCCTTGAAAGTGAACCCCATGTGCACTTGTGTCTGGGTGTGTTCCAGTGGGGAAGTCAGTTGAGGTCCAGGAAATTCAAAGAGGATGAGACTCAGACCTTGAGATGTGACAGGATGCCCTCCCATTGGACCACCTCCTGGTGGGAAGTGGGCAGAGGATGGGCCCAGGACCAAAGGGCTTGTTGAGTTGTTACTCCACTCTAGGCCCTCTCTGAACTGGTGTCCTGAGTGTCTCAAGCTGTCTTTGACACAAACATACTTATTAAATTTTTAGCAGTTAAAAATATTTCTAAGAGGGTTACTTCCTAAACGTACTTCCCTTTAACCTAACCTTAAAAATCCTTTTAGAAATAACGATGAATTGTTCCATTTGCTTTAAAACTTACAGGCTACAGACAGCTTGGCTGAAGCCAGACTTAGCTTTATATTGTACAACCTCTCCTTTCTTCCTATGTTCCAGCCTGGGGAGGAGATTCTCCCAAAGGACTCACATAGAAAACTCATTTTTGACAGGATGGATCTCGGCAGTGTGTGGGAGGTGAGTACAGCTTCTGTATTTTCACGGAGAGAGGATGGGCAGGAATTCGGGAAAGGTGGATCTAGTCTAATTCTGTCTAATTCTGCATACGCAGACCCAGGCAAGATCCTGAATGCCCCTTTGCCTTGATTTTCACAAGTCATCTGTTAAATAATTCAATGGATACTTATTGAATGCCTGTGATATACTCAGTACTTAGTACTCCTAAGTACTCAGGCAACATCAGTGAATAAAGCCAAGGTCTCTGGCCCTATGGGAACTGAGAGTGAAACAGGGAGGGGTCAAGGTTGGGACACAGTTGGCAATTAAAAACAGAATGGGCACTGTAGGCCTCTTGGAGAAGATGACATTTGAGCAAAGACTTGCAGGAAATGAGGAAATTGATTATATAAATATCCGGATGAAGAGAAATAGAGGCCACAAGGCCAAGGCAGGTTTTGTACGATGGGAGGGAACCTGCCATGTTCAAGAGAAAGCAAGAGGGCATGTGTGACTGGAACATGGGGAGCTCGGTGGCCAAAAATAGGAAATGAGGGCAAAGAGAAAACAGGGGGTCACTGTCCTGTTCCCCATGCTGCAGCCACTCTGCTTCCTGCTCTCCTGGTGCTTGTTTTGTTGTTGGTCAATCAAATTTTTCTAGGCATTCAGCTGAAGATCATCCTGGCTCTTTAGCTCTGTCCTGGCCACTTGCATTCTTTTCTTACACTTATCTTCTTGCCCATTGTTTTCTATCATTTTTTATTCTCCTCGCTTGGCCAATTCCTGTCTTGTTTCTTGACACCTGAACCTTTCAAGACTTCTTTCTGCTGCTCTGGCTCATACTCTCTCCCATCCGCAGCCCCTACTCCCAGTGAGCTCCTTTTATTAAACTACTCTAGCCAGTTACACAGCTGAGATCTCATAAGCCCTTCCTCCTCAGGCCCTGGAGAAGTGTAAGGAGGCAGGATTGGCCAAGTCCATTGGTGTGTCCAACTTTAACTGCAGGCAGCTGAAGATGATCCTGAACAAGTCAGGGCTCAAGTACAAGCCTGTCTGCAACCAGGTGAGCCTCATCAGTATCCTCCTGACTTCTCCTTCCTCTTCAGCTTACTTTTTTCTCATTTCCACAAGTCACCAAGGGCACTCCCTCTCATTATTGTACCTTCAGACGTCAGCTGCTTCGAGAGAGCAAAATGTATTTCAAGTTGTTGAGGACAGTACCCAAAGCTGTGCCAATTTATTAAAAAGACACTAGAGGGTCCAGGTGGAGTATAATCTGTTAGGTGTCATGGTGATTTGTCAGAAAAGTTTAGAGTTATCAGACTACTGACTTTTCTTATCTCCTAAAAGGTCAGTAAAGTTGGAACACTCTTGTGTAAAAGGAAGTAGGTGATTCATCTTTAAGTCTAACAACTCTTGAGTTCTGTGCCAAGAGAACCATTGAGCCTCTTAGTAGTCCAAAATCACTCCCAAACAATGGGAATGTATTTAGTACCATTGAACTGCACACTAAATAATGGTTTAAGTAGTATATTTATGTTCTGTGTATTTTACCACCATAGATATTTTCAAATTAAGAAGGGTACTTGTTAAGATAAACCCACTTTAATGAGCAACACATACACTTACTTGTTTTGGAGAATACTGAAAGAAACCAGGAGTGTAGAAATGACTGGCAATGCTCCTGCAAAGCAGAGAACGCACCCTCCTTGGACTATCTCATCTTCTTTTATATTTTTATTTTATTTTTTAAAATTTTATTTTGTTTGGATTTTAGAGAGAGGAGAATGGAAGGAGAAAGAGAGGGAGAGAAAATTGATGTGAGATTGAAACATCGATCAACTACCTTCTGTATGTGCCCCTTCCTGGGACCTAACCAGCAGCCCAGTCATGTGTCTGTACAGGGAATGGAACAAGGGACCTTCTGTTTTGCAGATGACGCCCAACCAACTGAGCCATAGTGGCTGGGGCTCATCTCCTCTTAAACTTCTTCATGCCAACTGAGAGGATGATAATCCATATATTAAATATTAGTAAGGCTTATTAATTTTTCTTATTTTTAGATGAAAAATACAATTAAGAGTTCTAAAAAGCTGTATTTTGTGTGCCTGGGGAAGTTTACTACTTGGAGATCACCAATTAAGAGAAAAGAAAGAAAGTTGGTTTTGACTGGAGTAGTTGGTTAAGAAGGGAGAAGCTGGGCATTACCTGAGCTCTAAAGGGGAGACAGAATTTAGCGAACGCAAGGCTGATTGGTTAAAGGGAGTTCATGTAGGCATGAAAAGCTTCAGTACATGAGGGAGACCCAAGGGCACCAGCATGCTTCCCAGTCTGAGCATCTAACAGATTTCTGATCTCGTCGGCTGAACTTGTCTTTCACGAGCTCTAAGCTCATTCACCAATACTGTGATGCCATCTCTGGGCAGTTAGGCAGAGTTAAGCCTCTAGAAGCTTCAGTGGCACAGCTGTGTGTGACAATCATGTGTTCACCCATTACTTAGGAATCTAAGTAATTCTTTTTATTGTTAACACTATTACAGATATCCCTCATTCCCCCCACCTTTGATGAATGAGAACCACTGAGCCTCCACCCAGCCCCCACCATATCCGGCCCTCACCGCATTGTTGTCTGTGTCCATGGGCTATAGCTATATGCATATATGTCCTTTGTCTAATTTCTTCCCATTTCCCCAACCCCTGTCCCCTCGGAAATCTGTCTGTCTGTTCTGTTTCCATGCCTCTGGTCTTATTTTGTTCGTCAGTTTGTTTTGTTCATTAGGTTCCACATATAAGTGAGATCATACAGTATTTCAGTTTCTCTGACTGGCTTATTTCACTTATAATAATCTCCAGGTCCATCCATGCTGTTGCAAAAGGTAAGATGTTTGTTTGTTTATGGCTGCATAGTATTCGGTTGTGTAAATGTACCACATCATTTTCACCTGCTCTCCTACTGATGGGCACTTGGGCTCACTGAAGATCTTGGCTATTGTAGATAACACTGCTATGAACAAAGGGGTGCATAGATTCTTTCTGGTTGGTGTTTTCAGGATTCTTAGGATATATTCCCAGAAGTGGGATTGCTGGGTCATAAGGCAGTTACATTTTTAATTTTTGAGAAAACTCCATACTGTTTTCCAGAGTGGCTGCACCAGTCTGCATTTCCACCAGCAGCACACTAGCATTCCCTTTCCACCACAGCCTCACCAGCACTTGTTGTTTGTTGATTTATTGATGGTAGCCATTCTGGCAGATGCGAGGTGACATCTTATTGTAGTTTCAATTTGTGTTTCTCCGATGATTAATGACATTGAACATCTTTTGATATGTCTATTGGCCATTTGTATGTCCTCTTTGGAGAAGTGTCTATTCAGATCCTTTGTCCATTTTTTAATTAGATTGTTTGCCTTTCTGGTGTTGAGTTTATAAGCTCTTCATATATTTTGGAAATTCACCCCTTATCAGAAGTATCATAGGTGAATATGTTCTCCCATTCTCCAGTGGGTTCTCTTTTCATTTTGTTGATGGTTTCTTTTGCTGTGCAGAAGCTTTTTAGTTTGATGTAGTTGCATTTGTTTATTTCTCTTTGTTTCACAACCCTACGAGACCTATCGGTAAAAACATTGCTATGTGAGATGTCTGAGATTTTACTGCCTATGTTTTCTTCTAGGGTTTTTATGGTTTTGTGACTTAAAGTCTTTTATCCACTTTGAGTTTATTGTAGTGTGTGGTGATATTTGGTGGTCTAGTTTCATTTTCTTGCATGTATCTGTCCAATTTTTCCAACACCATTCATTGAAGAGACTATTTTTGCATCATTGCATGCTCCTGCTTCCTTTGTCAAATATTAATTGACCATAAAGGTGTGAGTTTATATCTGGGCTCTCTGTTCTGTTCCATTGATCTATGTGCCTATTCTTGTGCCAGTACCAGGCTGTTTTGACTACAACGGCTTTGTAATCCTAAATACAAAATTTCTGGTATTGTGATCCCTCCACCATGCAATACAGCACTGTATGTTCCATGTAGTGTTGGAGGTTCTATAATGCAATGCTTCTGCTTGACATCTGTAGGTGGAATGTCACCTGTACCTCAACCAGAGCAAGCTTCTGGAATTCTGCAAGTCTGAGGACATTGTCCTCACTGCATGTGCTGCTCTGGGCTCCGACCCCAGGAAACATTGGTAATGGTTTCTAGAAAGTTATTCTCATAATAAATGCTGTACCTTCTGGGATAAATTAAAGATAGACCACAGGAATAATTCATCCCTGTCAACCCTTTCCCTAGCCTACATTGCAAAGACTCAATAAAACTTTATCAAATAATACCACTACTGATGAAAATGTTTGTACATTTTAGAAAGGTTTGGCTTTGAGGAGTGACAAAGCCAGCCCAAGCCACAATTCTGACAATTAATAGTTGAGTGATGTGAGACAAGCAACCCCTTCTGTAAACTGTAGTTTCTCTATCTCTTCAAGAGGAATATAAATGACACACCTTGCAGGGGTGTCCAACCTGCAGCCCGCGGGCCGCATGCAGCTCAGGATGGCTATGAAGGAGGCTCTACACAAAATCATAAATATGCTTAAAACATTATGAGATATATTTTGGGATTACGTGTTGCAATGTATTTAATGTGTGACCCAAGACAACTCTTCTTCAGGTGAGGCCCAGAAATGCCAAAAGGTTGGACACCTCTATGTGCTTGATGACAAAACAGAAAATTAATTGAAAGCATTTTTTTTAGAATAGCAAATTCTTATAAAATAGCTAGTTATTTTTTATAACTACCTTGGTTATGGTTATTGGGTTTTAGTTTGGACAACAACTTTGTCTTTTTGACTTATTCGATCCTTTACTAAATTTCTCAGAAATGTTTTAAAAATGGGGAAAAAACCCCACAGCTGTTTCCTCTCTTGCCTTACTTTCTCTTGTTCTTCTTTGGATTTTCCCAAAGAAGCCAAGCCAGACCTTGAGATAGCCAGAGGGTAGTCAGGAAGATTCTAGAGGACTTGCCATGCCCAGACTGAATGAGCAACCCCCAGTGATACAGGTATGCAGCCTCAGACACACAGCTTCTCTGCCTCCTTCCCAGGGTGAGCCAGGACAACCCAGTTCTCCTGGAGGACCCAGTACTCAATGTCATTGCCGAAAAGCACCAGCGAACCCCAGCTCAGGTGGCCCTGCGCTACCAGCTGCAGCGGGGCGTGGTGGTCTTGGCCAAGAGCTTCACTGAGAAAAGAATCCGAGAGAACTTCCAGGTGCATGGTAGGGCTGTGGGCAGCATGGACCGACAGGCAGAGCAGTACCCCTGGTGTGGGTTGTTGGTGAGGCTCTCGACCTACATTGGGGCAAAGCTTGTCTCCCCGCACTCTGTGCATAGAAGTGCTGTATTTAACTGTTCTGTCCTCCAACTGCTGCAGGGTGGGGGAGGGGTGTAGGGGGGTTAGAAAGAATGCGAAACAGGGTGAGGTTTGGACTCAGTCCTGGTTTTTAACCCAACTGCATGGCTCAGCGTAAGTCATCTCTTAATTTCTTCAGCTGCAAATTGAGAAAGTTAGATGAGATGAGATGTGGGCTCAAAAATGTCTAGGATTCCTTTGCTACAGCCATAGCAACCCCATAGGAGTCTCTGAGGGTGATCTGAATTGCCAGGGAGTGAACCCCAGGTTCATGACAACCTTCTCATTAAACCTACAGAAATTCCTACTTGAATTTGTGTGTCTGTGTCTGGGGGTGGGGTGGGCAATGGGAAGTGATTGCCTCAGGGAAATTGAATTGATCTTCTCACATTTCTGATAGGTTTTTGATTTCCAGTTGACACCAGAGGATATGGAAACTCTAGATGGCCTCAACAGGAACATGCGTTATCTTAAATTTTCTTTGTAAGTATCTTGTTTCATTGTAGATGCTGGGAGCAGGACAGTGAGGGAATTCAGTTTACTCCAGTCCACAAGGACAGCATCTTCTCTTCCTTCTTGTTTTACGGAAGTTGTTGGAAATCATTTTTCCTTCAGCTCTCAGACCACCTTTTCTCTGTTACTTTCATGTTCCCCTGTCCTAATGGTACTTCAAGTCCAGGATCAGTTGATTTATTAACCTCCTTTGCATATTCCCTCACCTCTTGCACTTCTCTCTCCCTGTCATGCTCATCGATCTAAGCCCTGTCTCTGCTCACATCATCAGTTTTCCCTCTCCACAAGATTATTCCTTGAGGCATTCAGACATGTGCTCAACTTAAAAAAAAAACAAAACAAAAAATCCAAAGACCTCTCTCGAGCTGACCTCACTCGGCAGCTACACCCTACATCCTCTTGTACGGAAAAGCTTCTGGAAGACAGGACTCTTGTGCCCCCAGGGTCTCTCTTCTCACTCTCTTTCCAACCCACACAAATCAGGCATTTCTCTTTTGCTGAAACCAGACTTCTCATTCACCTTGTTCTACTGAGCAGATCACTCTCTCCACCAAGCAAGGCTTCCTCAGCTTGCTTTTTTTATGGCTGACTGCCCTGCTTTCCCCTTCCTGCCTCCATTCCCCTTCCTCCCTCCCTTCCTGGCCATTCCATCTCACAGTCTCACATCCTTTGTAGCATTCTCCTCCTCTACTTGACCTCCTAACTTTGGAGTGACATAAAGCTCAATGCCAGACCTCTCCTCTTTCCTATCTACAGCCACATCCTTCATGATTTCATATTGTCCCATCTAAATATAGTCTCCCCAAAATTACTTCCGGCCCAGACCTAGGCCCTGGACCAAGAGTTATAGATCTATTTACTCAACTCCACTTGGATATGTTTAACAAGCATCTCAAGCTTATAGTCCATGATGGCACCTGCAGGGCCCCCGCCACACACACATGCACACCCCCCAAATATACTCATATTAACACTGGGTTACATAGTTAACCTGATTGGATACACCTCCTTGTGACATCCGGTGGCCTGCCACCTCACTCAGAGAAAAGGACAAATTTTTTACACAACCTACAGGAGCCAACAAGGTGCTCCCTCCCTCCATCTCTGCCCCCACATCCCTCTGCTCTCTCCTCTGACTCCAGTGCAACCCTTGGCTGCTTTTCACATATTCCAGCCTGTCTCAGGGCTTTTGCACTGGCTGTTCTCTCTGCTAGAATGCTCGTCCTCCAGGTGGCTAGATGTTTGATCCTCCACCTCCTCAAGTCTGAACTCAGAAGTCACCTCTGTGATAACTTCTCTGTCCCTTTATCTAAACATGCACCCCTTTCTTTCAAAGAAATGCCCGCACTTTCTTCCTCCTACCCCCATTTATTTTTCTCTTGGCATCTATCCCCAGTTAACATAACAAGTTCACTAACCTATTTTGTTATTTTTTGTTTGGACACAGAATGTATGATTCCTAGGGCAGGTTTTTGAAAAAGCTACTCTTTCCCTAAGTAATCAATACATAGTAATTGAATGAATACTATAACAAAATGATAGAAGGGTGAGAAGAAGGGAGAGTAGAGGAGCAGGTAGTGTCCTTAACAATAGTGGTAATTTTAATTAATAATTATTCAGTGATTTAGCATTTTCTACCTCAAAAATGGTTATGTATATAGAGTGAGTGTACTTCCCTTGCTAAGTGGAAGCTCTCCGTTGAAGTGACTTATTTTATAACCCCTGTATCCATCCCTAGGTCTAATATAGAATTTTTCGCCCAGTAAAGCCACAGGTAAATTATTTCTAAGTGCTTGGAAGAAACTGAACAATGGTGATATTTTTATCAGCTTCCTCATCATCGCCTTGAAATATTTGTTTACTTTATATGTTAAACCAGTTTGCCATTATTTTAAAAGGAGGCAGAATTCATTTCTGTCCTCTTGGGAGTTCAAAATAGTAGCACTAATAGTTTCATCTCCTTAAGTTGTAGAATTATATACCCACAATAATAGACTATAATAGTTTATTTTTTGCATAGGGGCTCAAGTGCAAGTAGGTTTATTTCTTACAATAGACTTATTACAGTGTAATGCAACCATACAAGCTTATTATAAAACTAGTTGTGTTTGTACTTCTCCAGAAAGAAAATTATATTAATATTTATACTTAAGCCAATTTAAAAGAAACCTCTCTTTACCCTGCCCAGAAAGTTACTTGACTAAGGCTCTCCTTTTATCTTTTAGATTTGCTGACCACCCGGATTACCCATTTTATGATGAATATTAACAACAGTGTCTGAGGATGCTCCCATTTTTAATTTTGCTGAGCGATTGCAGAAGATCTCAAGGATGAGAAGACATCTGGTTTATTCCATGCCCCTTGCCTGGTCAGTCACAACAAGGCTTGAGTCTCTGCACCAGGAAATAAGAATCTCTAAACCCAGTTTCTCCAGCCAAAATAAATGGTGATACAGTTCAAACCATGTAACCTACCAACGGCTTTGGCTTTTTTTGTTTGTTTGTTAGTTTTGTTCCCCCCCCCGCCCCCCCGTGTCACGGAGGTTGAAATGTTGATACCCCAGGAAGAATCTCAGCAGATGTGACCTCTCAAAAACAGCTAATCATTTACTCAGCTTTCAAACTTTCAAACTCCACTTTTTCACTTTGTCTTTTAGTTCCCGTTTTATTTTCTCTCTTTTGTCTTCTGAATTTGCCACACCATAGGATTTTATCAGACCACTTAAGGAGATTTAAAACTTAATATGAAATACTTGAAATGTCCAGATTTCAATAAAAAATTACTCAAAATACCAAGAACAAGGAAGGTATCAAACTGAATGAAAGACAAACAACAGGTGCCTGTCCCAAGATGACCCGGTGTTAGAATCATCTGACAAAGTTTTAAAGCAGCCGCCATAAACCACTGTTTCAACAGCAATCACAAAGTTGGGACAAATGAAAAGGAGAAAATTTCAACAGAGAAACTTGCAAGGAATTTCTCCAGCTTGAGCAGAAACGGTACTGATGAAAACCCAGATACACAATGAGGTGTGGAGAGCAGTAGAAATGGTACGCGCATTGGAAGATGTACATGGTGTGTCCTTGTGGCTGAAATTCTTTGAAGGAACACTCACTGCTGAAAGGAAGACGAATAACCATTTGCGTGTGTCCCATCTGAAGGACGAGACAACCGTAACAAAGCACAGGGCAGGTGTCATGACAGTGCAGTGCGCCCTGGTGCTGCCACCATAGCCTGGAGTTCCCATTTCACTCCAGAGAAGAATGGGAGAAATCAGGTGCGTGTAACCCCAGAGCAACCCCTTAAACCTTTGCTGGGTAGTAGTCCAGGCTGTCATTCAATAGGCCTGGGTCCCATGACAGGCTTGACAAAAAGGCCCTCACTGCCTGGCTGCTTTTTCTTGCTTTCTCCCTCATGTCCTGCTTCACTTTCTTTGCCCATCTTCCCTAATGTCTGCACACAGCCAGCCACATCTCCTGATTGGGCTGTTTCCTTTCTTGCTGATTATGCCGCTCATTTCCTACATATCCTTGGGTTTCCATTCCAACAAAAGGAGAGGAAGCCCAATAGTACAGATATTCATAAGCAGCACCCCACCCTCATTCTAAAGGTACCAGAAACACAAGCCAGCCCTCAGACACAAGCAGGCCCCTTGAAGGGGACAAGCGTGTCCCTTTCCTCATAAAGCCTGTGTCTGCAGGCCCTGGAGAGGGGAAGCAGTTCCACAGAAGGCAGGCTATCCAGAGAAAAGCAGGGACCCTGTGAGACAGGAGCCGCACAAAGCCTCAGGGCACTAAGCAAACAGGGAAGGAGGAGCTGATGGGGACCTGTGGCTCCTGTCCACATAAGAAACATTCACACCTGTCGAGAATTTTTGTGACTTTATTTGAGCCAAACTGAAGAAAATTACTGGGAAGCAAAACCTCAGCCAATGGAGAAATACTCTGGTGAATGGCAGTTTAGCACTTTTTTACTACTTTGGGCATTTTATTACCATGCCACTGAGCTAGAACGTTAGTCGGTCTCTGTCACCACCTGGTGGCAGATATAGAAACAGTGCTGACGCTGGCTGGGAGATAAATCGTAAATGCAAAGACAGGTACATATATTTGTTATTCAGGATCCATATTTGATTATTTGCTAAAATTTATTTATAATACAAAAACAATACCCTCAGGGTTTTCCTGATCATTCTCAGACGTGCATAGGGCGACAAAAATTGAGGCCACCTGCCTGGTTCCTACTGGGGTGGAACAAGGCATTGCTGTGCCTTATTTCTGATCCACAGCTTTCCCTTGAGAAGGGACTTGCGGGCAGAAACCCCAAAGCTCTGTGCCGTTCACTGACCAGCAAGCCGGACTGGCCCTCAGCTTCAGAGAGCGTGGCCCGATGCCAGGGCAAGGGGTCAGCACGTGTGTTAGCGGCCATGGGGCCAGAGGCCAGAGTCAGTGTGCACTGCGGCCATCGCCCAGAGCTCACTCCAGACACAAGACAGCCTGGGGTTCACCTCTGTCTTTCAGGAGAGGTAGTGCCTGTGGCAGCAGGGTTGGGGCTTCCAGGCATAGTTCCCGACAGATCCAACACCTCAGTTAATCTCTGTTTCATCGATTCTCCTGGTTCGAGGATGGCCTGACTGGGCGGCCCTCCCCTGTGCCCGGAGGGCCTCCTGCACTCCTGCGCCTGCACCTGCCCATCTCACGCAAAGGCTCCAGGGCCTCGTCTCGCTAAACTCAGCAAGCCCCACTGTGAGCCTGCTTTTCCCCCACGAATCGCGCTCCCTCCCATGTTGACCTGCAAGGCTGCAGGCACCCCGTGGGCTGGGCCAGACGTTGGTGTCAGCAGGGACCTCTTGCCCTCCTGTCACGCTGCCACTTCCCCACCACCCCTCCCGGCGCCTCTCACGCCTGTCACGTCCTGACTCCCACATTGGACACTCTCCTTCAGGCCTTCTCACTTCTCGCTGGGACGCTGGCAGCAGGTTTGAAACGTGGTCCCTTCCTCCATGCATCTCCCAGACCCATCCCAACTTCGCCATCTGCCGAAGCTTTCATTCCAAAATGCTTATAAAAGAGCTAAAGAAAGTATGAAATCCTAGCAGTGGTAATGAAAAGTGGATTTCTATCTTTCTTTTTTTATACTTCTCTGTCCTTTCTGTAATTGTCATGTGATATTTTTAATCAAAAAAATAAACATTTGACAATAGGAAGAGGTCTGGATTAGTTATTCCTAAAATACACATTTCAGAGAGAGGAACAAAAGGAAACTGAGGTCTCTGAGAGTCACTGCCAGGTGGCCCTTCCCAATGCACCCTGCACATGTGCGTTTCAGGGACACAACCTGGTGACTATGAACACGAGGAGCTCTGGGTCATACAGCTTCCCGACGGGGCCCATCAGTAGCATGAAGACGCTGCTGGTGAGCCCCGCTCCCTCCCACGTGTCCAGGAAATCAGTGTCACTCGGTATCTGCATGTCACCGCGGTCCAAGGGCAAGTCTTTTTCCTTGGGCTGTAAGGACCAGAGGAAAGGAACTTACTGGGGGCTGATGGTCACCCCTGAAAACGAGAATGGATGAAGGGAGAATCAGGTGCAGGGAGAGAATGCTGGACCCTGGGCCAGAGGGTCTGGGTCTGAGCACATCCCTCACACGAAGCCCTGCGACCTCTCTTCTCCAGGCCCCACCTTCACCTTCACAAGACAAGGGCGGGGTGGGTTGGGCGGGCAGCAAAGTCTTCACCAGCCTGGAAGTTCACCGCCCACTTCTCACGTGTCAGGAAAGAAGACCTGGCATCCTTGCCCATTGTGAGAACATCGTTTAGTAACTTCAGGTAAAGAAGAGGGAAAGAGGTTTGCTTTCTTATCTCAGGAGCTTGGTGGACTTTCTCCAAAGTCCATTGGGAGGCTCTTCTCTGTTTTTCTTAGAATCCCCATTGTGTGAGAGATAATGAAGCTAGAGATAAAAGGGGCACAGCAGGTGCAGCGTGAAGAAAGAGCTTGACAGGGAACAAGGGTATCCCTTAGGAACCCCGTAGGTACTTATGATCGGTCCTCGTGCCTATCACACACAGCTTTATGTCTCCTGTCCCCGGAGAATGGTGTATGACACATGTTTGTTCAATGACAGCTAATTGTTCTCTTGTGCAATAGTGGGGTGAACTAATGTCTAAAAGTACAGCCTGATCCACATTTTATAGGAACTTTTCAATATGAAGCAACTAGCTGTCCCACTTCAAAGTCACCTCCTGTGTTGACATTTCTCTCGACCTCCACAAAAGTGCTATCTGGCCTCGGCCCTGGAACCTGTTGACTCCTCAGGCATCCCATGACAGGGATCTGCTAGAAGGTGAGGGCCCGGCAGGGTGGCGTATGCCTGGCCTGAGCATTAGCGTCTTGGCCCCGACGATCCTACTAAATCTTCCTGTGCCTCAGCTGCACCATCTGTGCAGTGGGGATACTAACAGTACCCACCTCGCAGAATTGTTGTGAGGATTAAGTGAACAATGTGTACGAAGTGACCAAAACAGGGCCTGGTCAAGTGTTAAAATAACACTATCCGCTGACAGTAAGTGCGACCCAGCTGTGGTCGTTACTTTAAGACTTACTCTCTGGGTGCTCTGATGTCACAGACAGAAACCATTTCTGAATTGTCCTCTCTCATCTTCTGTTCTCCACTAATGTGCCGGATGAGCAATTTCCACCTCATTATTGAAATTATACACCAATCCTGAAAGTAAAGCTACTTGAGGAATGAAGTGATTTTTGTTGTTTAATCTCAATAGAAACCTGGCAGCTGGGCACACACCATGGGTTCCTCAAACAAGGGCCACACATGGGAGATGCCAGTGCAGCTGTCACCCCCTCCAATGTAGGCAGAGTGTACTTCCAAGGCCCCCTGGTGCCTCCTGTGTGACTGAGCCCTTGGTCAGGCAGGTGTACAGGGACATCCTGGCCAGGACCAAGGTGAGATTGAGGCTGGGAAAGCAACTGCGGAGGGTGTAGGGGGAAGATAGGGTTGTGTGTGTGAGACACAATCAAGTGAAGAGAATAGCACCAAAGGAAGTGATAATCCCCCTCCAGAATCCTCTGTAACCACTCCAGGTAAATGAGCAGATGTCTCTCATATCGCAAAGCAGCCATCACTCTCCAGGAGAACATAAGCTGCGGGAAGGGACTGGGCCCAGGAATTCCCTGGGACCTGGGAAGTGATGTGAGCAGCAGCTTCAAGCAGCTGTATGTCCCCTGTCTGCTGCTTTCACCCAGAGACCTGGGGAAACATGGGCTGCTCTCTTGGCTTGGAGATGAAATGACTGGCTTTGAAGCAAAAACCATTCGCGGTGAGAGGTCCTCACGTCCAAGCCTCTCCTGAACTGAAGCCCAGAGACAACTGAATGCATGTGTGTGGCTGACACAGCCGAGAACTCATGCGCCCTGGCTGCCAGTCCAGCTCTTTCCATCCCCCATGGGGGCACGACCAGGAAGGAAGGCTGCCAATGGGGGATCTCCCCAGGCCTGGGTGGTATCCTGAAACCCATGGGCCAGTGTATGAGGTAGAGGTCCAAGTACTCCAGCTCCGAGGCCTTCAGAGACTGGGAGCAGGCTGCTCTCACCAAGGACTTCTCATGGCAGGTGCACCAGAGTTACGAGGGAAAGGACTGCCGACAATTGGCCCCAGAGCCAGTGTTGACACAGCATCTGTCCCTGGGTCCCACAAATCTGGTATCTGGAAGAACAACACCCATGTTGGCCATAACATACAGTGGGGCCGTAGGGTCATGGGGCTGTGACATTATCCTCCAATGGCACAGGACCCTCCCCCTCCCCCGCCCAGGGAGGAGACTCCAAAGCTGGGCTCCTGCCTGATTTCTACTCATGGGAAGTTGGGGACACTGTGAAATATTTGATAGGTGGGCTGTGTGGTTATTTGGATCCACTGGGACCACAAGCAGAAAAGATATAAGGAAAAATCAGAAGAATTACTTTATTGGGTTTCCCACTTGAACAGACTTTGTGTTAAAGGTTCTGTTACTCAGACTCATAATTCTGCGTCTTAAACTAGGTAAGGAAGTTAACACCCACTGCCTTATACTTAGCTAGGTATTTCCATGCACACCCTCTGTGAAGTAGAAAGTTTGTAATTTGTTTTTCCTTTATTATTTTCTTCCTTATAATATTTACTATTAACTGTGACAGAAGGTTCAACCATAGCAAGAGCAAAAACAATAATAAATAAGAGAAAGAGTATTAAAATATATAAAATCAAACTATAAACACAGTATATTTACAGAAAAGAAACTAGAATACATCATATTGTTAACAACAGTGCTTCCTAATGGTGAGAATATCAGTGACTTATATTTTTAAAAATTATATTTCCAAGATGTTTCAAAATTCCAGGAATGAGGAACACACATCCTCTGCTGGCTGTGACCCAGGGAGGAGCACCCTGTCCCAAATCACAGGGCTGGCCTTAGAAACCCCAGGACCCACCACCCTAACTCGAGGATCAGGAGAGATTTGGGTTCCTTTGCCAAGGTCACACCAGGGCCTCTCCTTTTGCGGCGCTGGTGAGTTACAGAAATTGTAACCAGGTAACACAGAAAAGCAATTCTACTACAGGGACAGCACTGAACCTCGCAGTTATGGAAATTTAAATGTGGGAGTCAGTCTCATCTTACTCAGGGCGAAGCTGGGACCTGAGCCAGCCAGAGACTGACCCAGTGTCTCTCACAGCTCAGGAGGGACAGCTGGGACGTGAACTCATGGCCCCTGGCATAGCAGACTTAACGTTCTTCTTCAAAGTCAAAAGCAAAGGAATTATTTAATTCTCTACTTTCTTGATCCACTGCCAGTGTTCCCTGCAGGGCTCACCTCCTCACTGTCTTTCCTAGCCTTTTCCTCTCCAACTGTCCAGTGCTGTCCAAGCAGGCTGTCACCCTCTCATACCTACACTGCTGTTAGGGTCTCCTGCCTCCTGCCTCCTGTCCAAACGCACGCTGCCTTCTACTCCACAGTCCCCTGTATACAGCACAACTCTTGCTCATGTAGAGGATAAAACCTTCAGCGTTGCTCTGCTGACTGCGGGGAGAGAACTCCTTAAGTGGTGTCCACGTATTCCAGGAGCAGCTCCAGCCACACGGCTCCTTGTCTCTGCTGCCAACATTGTTTGGTCCAGGAACACCAAGCTTCTTAAAGGTCCCTGGACCCACATATAATGACCTATGCTTCATGCCTTTGCTCTCGTTGTCCCCTCTGCTAGTCACACTGTCTCTGACCCCTTTACCTGCACCATTCCCAACATGTGCACAAAGCTGCAGAATTCCCTGTCTGGTCAGGTTCAAGCATGAATGCAAGTCACCAGCTCTACAGGAGCCTGGAAAATCATCCGCACGCTATGTCAGCTGTCTCATCACCCAAGCTCTGAGCAACATGCACCTGCTCTTCCTGCAGGGGACGTCCTACCTTACTGACCATGAAGAGGTCCTCCTGCTGTACCACGCCCTCCTTGATCTTGCACTGGATTCCAGCTCCAAACTCACTCTCATTGTGGTACAGGCACATGCAGTCCAAGTGCCGATATCCCACATCTATTGTCACTTTCACTGCCTGTGTCACTTCTCCGGGAGTTGCCTGCAAAATGAATGAGATCTGAGGAGCTGCCCTGCTGACCCCCTGCAGCAGCAATAAACCAAGTGCTTAGTAGGCCATGGAGCTTTTGTGCTTGGTTGTTATGCAGCATTTCTGGGACAACAGATTGCTGATGGCAGATTTGTAATGTAACATGATTAAAAATAAATAAAAGAAGCCTTTGCAAAGATCAGGGAAGGGTGATGGGGATTGATTCAATTCTATGCCTCAAATCCAACAGCAACATAAAGGAACGTTTTGGCCTCCTAAGCATAGTTTTCACATCTTCTCCTTAACCTGAGTGCAGGAATGCGTGGACTCCTACACCCAGCCGTGTGCAGAAGACACAGTGCATAAAAGACGGAATTAAAGTCAGGCCAGGAGTCAGGACAGCTAAATCCACCAGGTGTTTACTGAATGGCTGCCAAACGCGTGGCCTTGGCTAGATGCTGAGAATCACAATGAGTGAGTAAGGGGAAAATTTGTAGCATTTACAGGCCTACCTCAAGAAATAAAAAAAATTCGAATAAACAATCTAACTTTGCACTTAAAGGACTTGAAAAAGAAAAACAGAGCCCAAAGTGAATAAAAGGAAAGAAATTATAAAGATCAGAGCAGAAATAAATAAAATAGAGTCTAAAAAATACTAAAAATCAGTTAACCAAGCACTATTATTTGAAAAGTTAAACAAGAAAAAAAGAGAGAGGACCCAAATAAATAAAACCAGTAATGAAACAGGAGAAGTAACAATACTGCAAACAACTATGTGGTAACAATTTGGACAATCTAGATGAAATGGGTAAATTCCTAGAACATACAAAACTTCCAAAAGTAAATCAGGAAAATCAGCAAATGCGAATAGAAAGAGTACAACTAGTGATATTGAAGCAGTAATCAAAAAACTCCAATCAAAAGCCCTGGACTGATGGCTTCACAGGTGAATTTACCAAGTATTCAGAGAAGAACTAACACCTCTATTCCAAAGAATTCAAGGGGAAGGAAGACTCCTGAGATCCTTTTACAAGCCCAGATTTATCCTAATTCCAAAACAAGAAAAAAGACACTACAAAGGAAGGAAATTGCAGGCCAATATCATTGATCAACACATGAGCCTATGAAAAAATCTGCAACACAATACTAGCAAACCCAATTCAGCAATATATTCAAAGGATCATACACCAAGATCACGTAGGATTTATTTGAGGGATGCAAGGTTGGTACAATATCTGCAAGTCAATAAACGTGATACACTGCAGAAACAAAATGAAAGATAAAACCACATGATCATATCAACAGATGTAGAAAAAGCATTTGAAAAAACCTAGTGTTCACTTATGATAAAAACTCTCAGCAAACTGGGAAGAGAAGGAACATACCTCAAGGTAATAAAGGCTTTTTATGACAAACACACAGCCAACATCTCATACTCAATGGGCACAAACTACAAGCATTTCCCTTAAGATCAGGAACAAGACAGGGATGTCTTCTTTCACCATTCTTATATCAACATAGTACTGGAAGTCCTAGCCACAGCATTCAGAAAAGAAGAAGAAATAAAAGGAATCCAAATAAGAAAGGAAGAAGTAAAACTGCCATTTTTTGCAAATGGCATGATACTGTTTATAGAGAACCCTAAAGATTCCACCAAAAGACTACTAGAACTGATGATTTCAGTAAAGTAGCAGGATAAAAAAATACATATTCAGAAATCAGTTGCATTTTTATGCACCAAAAAATGAACCATTAGATAAGGAAACCAAAAAAACCCCCCCAAACGCCCCCCCAAACAAAGTCCCATTCACAAGTGCTTCAAAAAGAACAAAACACCTAAGAATAAATCTAACCAAGGATATAAAAGACCTGTACTTGGAAATTATAAGGCACTGAAGAAAGAAGTTGAAGAAGATAGAAATAAGTGGAAGCACATACTGTGTTCATGGTTGGGAAGAATTAACATCATTAAAATGTCCATATTACCCAAAGCAACCTACAGATTCAATGCAGTTCCTATCAAGATATCAATAATGTATTTCACAGAACTAGAACAAACATCCAAACATTTATACAGAACCACAAAAGACCCTGAAAAGCTTCAGCACTCTTGAGAAAGAAGAACTAAGGTGGAGGCATCATACTATACTACAAGGCCACAGTAATCAAAACATCATCGCATTGGCATAAAAACAGACATATAAATCAATGGAACAGAATAGAGATCCCAGAAATAAACCCATCCCTTTATAGTCAATTAGTATTTGACAAAGGAGACAAAAGCATACAGCAGGCTAAGGGTAGGCTATTCAATAAATGGTGTTGGGAAAGCTGGACAGAAACATGCAAAAAAATTTAAACTACATACAAAATAAACTCAAAATGGATTAAAGACTTAAATGTTAAACTTGAAACCATAAAAATCCTTAAAGAAAACATAGGCAGTAAAATCTCAGACACTTCTTATAGTAATATACATTTTTTCCTGATATATCTCCTCAAGGTAAACAAAAGAAAAATATAAACAAATGGGACTATATCAAACTAAAGAGTTTTTGCATAGCAAAGGAAATCATCAACAAAATGGAAAGACAACCCACTGAATGGGAGAACATATTTGCCAATATATCTGGTAAGGGGTTCATATCCAAAATTTATAAAGAGCTTATACAACCCAACACCCAAAAGACAGTTAGTTCAATTTAAAAATGGGCAAAGGATGTGAATATACACTTCTCCAAAGAGGACATACAGATGGCCAATAGACATATGAAAAGATGCTTGACATCACTAATCATCAGAGAACACAAATTAAAACCACAATGAGATATCACCTCACACCTGCCAGAATGGCTATCATCAATAAGTCAACAAACAAATGTTGGTGAGAATGTGGAGAAATGGAAACCCTCATGCACTGTTGGTGGGAATGCAGAATCGTACAGCCACTGTGGAAAGCAGTATGGAGTTACCTCAAAAAATTAAAAACAGAACTGCCTTATAATCCAGGGATTCCACTTATGGATATTTATCCAAAGAAACCTGAAACACTAACTTGAAAATATGTATGTACTCCTATGTTCATTGCAACATTATTTACCATCACCAAGATACTGAAGCAGCCCACGTGCTCATCAGTAGATGAGTGGATAAAATAACTATGGTACATTTATACAGTGGGATACTACTCAGTGTAAAAAAAGAAAATCTTACCCTTTGCAACAGCATGGATGGACCTGGGGAACATTATGCTAAATGAAATAAAAAAGTCAGAGAAAGTCAAATACTGTGATTTCACTGATATGTGGAATCTAATGAACAAAAGGAATTAACAATCAAAATAGAGACAGACTCATTCACAGAGAGCAGATGACAGCTCTGGGGAGACTGAGGGTGGGTGGGTGGAGGGACTGAGCAAAAAGGAAAAGAGGAAGAACTCTTGGAGGGAGACAATAGTGTGGTGATTGCGGGTGGTGTGTTGAGGTGGAAGAGGGTAAAGGGGAATACAGGGTGATGGAAAAAAATTTTGAGATAAATAAATTAAAAAATAAAAATAAGTATCACCAACAGCAAAAGAACAAACTGGCAATGGCAGAGTTTCTTGTGTATTAATCCTCACACGGAGGATATTTTTATTGATTTGAGGGGGGGGGGAACGAAGAGGGATCGGGGGGGGGAGGAGAGAGAGAGAGAGAGAGATGGCTAGATAGATACCAGGGCGCCACGGGTTGCTTCCCATACCCGTCCCGACCGGGGGTGGAACCACTAACCTAGGTATGTGCCCTGCCTGGAAATGGAACCCCCAACCATTTGGTCACGGGATGAATCTCCAACCAACTGGCCACGCGGCCAGGGCCCTTTATCATCTTCTTGATACAGATAATATGTTCCAGGAACAGCTGTCTGATGTTTGATCTAGTTAGGTGACTGCCATTCTTTCTGCCTGTACCCAATTCTGACAACCTTCTCTTTGGGGCTTTCCCAAACATTATTTCTGTATAATTATGATTTGGCCTCAGTATGAAATATCACAGGGACACCCCCCATTTTCAGGAAATGGGCGATCTAAAAATTCCATCTTTCAAACACAGGAAGCTTCCTAGGGAGGTAGGCTACTCGCTGGGCTGGCAGATGCTGCTGCAGGGTCCCCGCAGATTTCCCCACGCCCTAGGGGCAGAGGTCTACAGCAGTGTCCCGGCAGATGACCCCTCCACGTCCCCGTGAGCCGCAATAAGCTAAGGCGACGCCACTCCCCCACTGTGAGGCCGCAGCACCACCCAGGTGCCCAGGCCCAGAGCAGGTATCTTCTCCAAGCCTCGGAGGGGCGACTGAGGCTGCTGCGCGACTCGAGAGGTGGTGGGAGCCATGGCGGTGGACTCCGGAGGGGCTGGCGGCTAGGATTGCCGGTGGCTCGGAGGCCGCCGGTTAGCGTGCGGCGCGGCGCGGCTCGGGACAGTGGCACGCCCACTGTCCTCGGAGCGCGTGGGACGTTGGGAAGCTCTAGGTATTGAGGTTCTGGCAGGTCCCTGCCTCCTACCTACGTGCTGGTGGAGCACAGTACCCGGAGGGTAGTTAAACCAGGCTGATGGGTTGGGTTCCCGAGGGTCCTAGGGTTGGCAGGGCCACCCCCAGCGCGGCCTGGAGAGGACCTGGGGCGCTTTGTCCACAGCTCTGGGCTCCTGGGTCCAGGGTAAGTCTCTGACGCTCAACCCATAGGAGGGGTCTCCAGGATAAGGAGCGGCGCCTGATTCCTAATCTACAACTGGATGTGCTTGGGGGCGAGGACCCTGAGGGTCCTACAGGTTCATGGGAGGTTGGGCTTTTTTTCTCCGTCAATGACCTTTTGCGGTTAGTCCTGTAATGCTTTCTACTCGTTGAAGTCCTTGGGACAGGAGGCGGCCTGCGGGCCGGGGAAGGGCACTAGAACGCTCCTCCGGGGACCCGGGGCCGGACCACCTTGCTGGAGCCTCAGGTACTCAGGTGGAACTGGGCAGAGTCATTGCCCTGGCTGGCGAGAAGAGGCTTGGAGAGGGACTGGGCGCCCCGGGACAATAGATGGAAACCGAGGAACATGGGGGACTCTGGGTCTCTCTCATACCCTCTGGAGACCTCAGGTCTTGCTCCTTTGCCCCCCTACCCCGCCCCTACCCCTACCCCTGGGGCCTGGGAGCCCCGCTGCCTGGGTGTCTTTCAAACAATCATGGTTTGTTTTTTTTTCTTCTGCTTTTAGGCCCGCGGCTGCAGTGCTAGGGGTAACCACCAGGGGGCCGGCTGTGCCCACTGTAGCAACTGCAGCAGAGAATGGGTCAATTAATTATTCTGGGCTTCCTCCTTCCTCTGACCCAACTTGCACTTTCATTGTTAGCCTCCATCTCCATGTGAGCTGTTCAGAGGCCGGAAGGAGCTGCTTGTGAAAAAAAGCAAAATTACTTGTGGGAACGTCAGAAAATTCTTTATATACAGCTTTCACTTCATATTATGGCCACAAGTATTTTTTGCATTTGCTACTGTTTATATTGTTTGACCCGTCCCTGCCGGTGTGAAAATGAGTCGTCCCTGAACCTGGATGAGACTTGCAGGGTGGGACTGTGAACGCAGGCACGCTGGAGAAGCTGGCACAGTACCAGCTGTCTGCCCTCCAGTGCAGACTACTATGACCCACCTCCCTGTCTGTCTACTGAAACTTCTCCAGCACCCAGCAGGTCACAGATCTGCTGAAGAAAAGGGGAGTGCTTCTCCCCACGACAGCACAGTGGTTTCGCTGCCTCCTCCTAGCTTCATGTCTTGGGAATGTAACCTTACCTCTCTGAGCCTCAGCTTGCTCATGTGAAAACAGAGGTGCTGTGAGGACCCAACTCAGAGGGTTATTGTCAGGACTAAGTGGGAAGCAATCGAGAGTGCTTACCCTGTGCCTGGCCTTGTGGAAAAGACTGCCGAGGGCTGTCGTTTTCTCATTTATGATTTTCTCTTCCTGTTGAAGATGCTCTCTGCTTCAAGCCTCACCTATTTTGTGGTCTGGAAAAAGCTGTTCCCATTTGTAAAATTAATTCCATCTGGGTGTTCCTGTCTGAGGTGTAGCCAGAGCAGGAACCCTGGCCGGCTTGCTGAGGGGCCCCAGGTACACTGAGACATATGCTGAGAAGATTTGTTCTATCAACAATAGGTATGTCAAGTGCTTCCTGTATGCAGGCCCGTTTTCCAGGCACTTGGCATAGTTAAATGAGTGGAACAGATTAAAATCTCTACCCTCTGGGCTTCCATTTCAGTTGGGACATAGGCCAGTCCCATTAGACATCATAGAGGATGCAGGATGTTCAGTGCATCACCCTCCTGGCCTCCTCTAGATATGGATTCCTCTGCCCTCCTTGTCAGATGAGATGGATGACAAACCCCAGGAACAACTAAAGGAGTGGGAGGGCTCCTTTCTTCATGGTGGGGAATATTTGGGGCTGAGGCCAGTTGGGGTCAGCATTTGGGAGATGTGGACTTTACCAGCCTAAAGCAGTTTATGGCTTACATGCAGCTCAGCATGCCTGGCCCAGATCTGGACCACCATGCCTGCCTTCTTTTGACCCAGCTGGATGACCAGAAGCCCACAGAGGCAGCGCCCTAGGGTAAGGTGGTGGGGGTAGGCACATGTGGTCATATGGGGAAGGGTCAGTGCTGGGCACCCCCCGGGGAGGAGCTGGGAGGAGCTGACAGAGGCTGGAGTGGGGACAGGAGCAGATGGGCCTCAGACCATTAGATGGAGTCAGCCTGGGAAGATGCCCTTTTCTGGAAGGCTCTCGGATTTGTTCTGTGTTTGGAGAGGCCCATGGGAAGGCAGGCATGTGAGTGGCCTCTCCTCCTGCAGCTCCAGTGCCATCTCCAGAGGGGTGCTGACTGCAGCACCAGCTCCTGTACCCTCTCAGGAGCTAGATCCTGCTGTATAGCTGAGAACCCAAGGCCTTTTAGTGCTTGAGGCATTTTTGTCATTAGATTTGATGCCATCTCTGGCAGTAGGCCCAGAGCCAGAGGCAAGTGCACAAGCAGTTCTAGCCACAACTCCAGAGCTAGAGTCCAGCTACAGAAGGAGCTCCAGAGCCACCGTGTCTGACCACCTGTGGAGCAGGGGCTGCGCCTGGTGCCTCCCTCAGCACCAGCTCCTGAGGTACACCCAGCAGCAGAGCCGGCCGCCCCTCCCTGATGGTTGTAGCATTCTTAATTTTTCTCTTTATATTAAAAAAATTTAAAACATTGTGTTAAAATTTGATTCAATGTAATGTAACCCTTTAATCATTTTAAACTTCAATTCCCCTATGCTGTGTAACCAGCCTCACTATCTAATTGCAGGCTGTTCTCATCCCCACAAGATGAAAGCTCATACCCAGCCGTCACTCCCTTCCCTAAGCCTTCAGCAACAGCTAACCTGTTTTTGTCTGTTTCTTTACCTAATCTGGATTATTCATATAAATCAAATCATAATATGTGGCTTTTTATGTCTGCCCACAGATTTTAAGATGGACTCATTTTTGCTTTAAAAAAAATTTTAAATAGCATTTTTTTTATTTAAAAGACAAATCCTAGATGAAAAGATTATATGTGAAAACTGAAGCCCTTAGAGTAGATATGTTCAAAATCTTGGGTGGAAACTGCTGTTCTAAGTGTCACTGAGAGTCAAGGGCCATAAAGAAATGGTTGGCTCTTCTGTGGCCATCTAAAAACAAGGAAAACATCATCAGTGGAAAGAAAAATGGAAACTAGAACAACATTCCTCAGAACCCGAGGCCAGAGAAGGGTTTAACAACCTGGTGGTACCAAAAACTCTCAAAAATCACTGCTTTAAAAAGGGTCCAGAAACAAACATGCAGTGCAAACAGGAAGCAGTGCAGGTGGCCGACAATGTGAGATGTTTACCTCCCCGCTGAGGATACACACATTACGGAGAAAGTATGTATCACCATCACTAGCAGGTTTTACATCTGGTGACAACCAGCCCTGGGGACAACGTGAAGAAGCAGAGGCGCCACCAGATCCTCTGGAGAGAATTCTGAAAGGACACTCATCACTGGGAGAACAGCTCACGGGGCCCATTAAGTCCCACAGGTACGTATCTTTACCCAGCTGTGCAGAGCCTAGGAATATATCCAAAATAAATTCTTGCACAATTTTTCCAAGCTATATTTTTAAGACTACTCATTACAGTCCACACAGACTATTCATTACAGGACTGTTGCTCTGGTCCCAGTGCCATCCATGCCCATCCCTCCTGCTAATAACTTAGCTTCTGAGCAGAGCAGCTAGGCCTGCAATCCAGGACAGAGGGAACGGCCAGACTGCCGGCCTCGGCTGCCTGCTCCCTCTCCCTCCAGGCACAAACCCCTTCCTCCCAGTCAGGAAAGCACATGTAGGGCAGCTCAGGCAGTCGCAGGGACAACCTTGAGCCTGCTCCACCCAGGGGAAGCTCTCAATGACAACAACAGAACCTCACTTGAGCTTGAGTGATCAAAGGCCTTTACAAAGCACAGGGAAGTTGGGAAGCTGCTGGAAAGTCAAAGCACCAGACTGGGGGTTTGGAGATGGAAACAGTGCTGAGACTACCTCTGAGGCTTCACTGGAGTGACCCCTGTCCTGCTCCTCTGCCTGCCCCCAGCCCACAGAGTGAGCACAGCCAGTGCCTATGGGAGAGGAGGCTAGTGGTTAGGGGGCACTGAGGTCAGATAGATTCAGTGACCATGGCGAGGTGTTAACTATCTGAGCCTCCATTTCCTGCTTTGTGAAATGGGGATAGCAGTAGCCTCTCATGGTATCATGAAGACAAGTTCAATGAGATTACACTTGGAGGGCCCTTGCCTACACCAAGAGCTCATGTGACATGGGCCTTACAAAGGACCCACTTGGAAAAGGTGACCTGAGGCACATTCTCAGATGGGTGCACTGTGAACTCCTATAGCTATACCTCATGTGACAAGAGTTGTCGAAGTGCCTATCCCCTGTGTCTTCAGGATGGGACTCTGAAAAAAGTAAAGCAGGTATTTGCCCAACTATGTGTGAGCAGTAGGGGCTACAGCATAGGAGGAAGTCAGTCCTGGGTGCCCAAGGTATAGCTTGAAAAATGACAGCGAATTATTGTTAACTGAACTAGGTGGTGACTCCAATCACTACTGTCTTCTAGATGTTTCACCCCCTAGTATTTGGCCTTCAGTTTTTGATCTTGGAAGTGTTTTTTTTCTCCATACATGCTAGTAAAGACCTCCAAAAGCCATCCGTGTTCAGCAGGCAGGACCAGCAATACCTTCACCATCCAACCTCAGGGGTGTATCAGCTGCCAGTCCTGTCAGTTTAGCTCACAGGGATCTTGATTGTCTTTCCTTCCACAAGACATCAC